TAGAGCAAGACTAATAGCGTGTGTGCGAATTCCTATCAAGTACCCAGCTCAAGTTGATAGAAGCAAAATTATATTACGATCGCCAATCTCTGGGAGAGACGATCCAAGATAGGGTATCTGGAATCAAGTAGTAGTGAGTTTTGTAGTTCCATCATTACATACAACTACTTTCCTTTTCACATTGAATGGACCCAGCCTATTCAGCGTTGGTATTCCTATCGACCAAAGCTGTTAAGACTTCAAAACCTGGCAGAGCCCGAGTACAATCTCAGAAAACTTCCATTCCATCGCCACAACGAAGCCATAACTCCTTAGCATTAGCTGCATGAGCGTCTGCATAATTCATGCACGCGATCACACCCGAGACACCCCCATTCGCAGATTATTCCCACGCAAGATTGGACAAAATCTATGGAGGTATATACAGATTTTCCCTTCGCAGTGGTAATCTTGGACATACTGTTTTGGTATGGTTAGCATAATTCCTTCAATTAAATTCTAACAAAAGAATGTCAGAAACTTAACTCACAGATAAATCTCCTGTCACAATTGCCGCCTTTCAAACAAGGGAGACCGGCAACATAAGCAGGGTAGACTTGCCGCCAAATATCATCATTGTATTTAGAGGACACGGCGGACACTTGTTCAAGCGTTGTAGGCTCTGTGATTGACAAAGTAGGAGATTGGGAAGTAGTCTGAAATCGTAGGGGAGGAGCATAATGATCCGGAATCACAGTAGATGCTGGAGAGGTGGGAAGTTGTTTCGGAGGGGCACAAGGATATGGCCTCACAACAGATGCCAATTCATACATGGTGGGCTTTGTGGCTGGGGGGGAGGGAATGTTGGGGAGCAATCCGAGGTCGTGGCCCACGGGTACGACGATGTAGAAGAGTCACCATCTCCGGCCTGTACTCCTTGACATCTAAGAGATAAAACCGTACATGATGAAAATACATATTGTGAGGGCCAGAGACCGCTGAATATGCTTAATACTGCTAACGGTTGTAGCTGATGTGATATACCCGAAGTATAAAGCAGATAAGCAGAAAGGATGCAAAGAAGAGTAAGAGATGCGAGGGTGAAGGGAAAAAACAATTACTTAAGGTGTATGAAGAAAATGGTAGTAAATGTACGGATGGTCATTGCTATATCACGTGGTCCATTTTTATCATTTGTATTGGTTTCTGATGTTTTACTTCCTGCAACAGCGTGCGTAAATTCCTAGTATATTAATCGGCTCCAAATTGATATAAGCAAGATTTTATTGAAGTAGTCTAAGTACAGCAATAAACTTAAGCAGTACTAATCAAATACTGACAAATGAAAAGTCTCACCGCCCTATTTACCGTCCCATGCGTTGTATCTTATTCAGGATGTGGATTACGTGACAGATTACTCTGGTGCATGGGAGGACCGAATAAACTGAGATAGAAGAGTTCTATTGAGGCGCCATCTAGAGGGAGGAGCGCGTGCATGGCTTGGCGGATTACCCGCGATAACTTTGTATTTTTGGGCTGCCCTCAAAGGAGGTGTTTCTGAAGAAGTATGGACTCTCTGAGATAGATGAAGCAACAAGATTCTTCACTGTTACAAGAATGGTTGCTATACTGGCCCAATAATCGGATGAATCAGTGGCAGCCTACTTGGTTTGGTGTGAAGAGTTGTTGGAGCAGGCAGACACTACCATCGGCAACACAAAACCTTCGGTATGTATGTTGTGGAAGGACTAAATGGTCCAGAGAGGAGACGATTGGTTTAATTTACTTTGGGACGGGAGCAGAATTGTGTCTATAGCTATGCACGGTCGTTGATTCTCTCTGCCTATGATGATATCTAAACGCAGGAAAAGAAGACAGCGGAGATTCCGAAAGATGTTCCTGTTCATGGCTTAATTATAGATAAGTACGTTATGCAATCCTTACCTGCTCTCATCCAATGGATGCAGGCCCCATTGAAACAACAAGCAGATATCCAGTAAAAGACTCCTCCCCAAGTAGATCGAGTTATCGAAAACCCGGTGGCGGGAAAGGCCCAATAACCTGTTGTATCTGCGGCCGGGAAGGATACTATGTGTATAATCCGAAGTGCCCCAGCTATAACCCTAATATAAGATGTTTCAGCTGTGGGCGGAAAGGGTATATGTTATACAGTCTGTTTTGCCCCAATAATATCTCCTATTCTTTTTTCAAGAGTTCTGCTAATGATAAAGGAAAGAATCCGATAGCTGTACCAGCCCCATATATATTTTCTGTGTACTACTGTAATACAGACAGTGTTTGCAGCGCAGAAATGCTCGGAACCCTCCAATGAGGGTAATACTGACTAGCCCGCGTCAAAAGTGCTGCGTGTATAATTCGCTGTTGAGAAGTTACAGTCAAAATTTTCCGCTGAAGCAACGAATCCTAATGAACCGGGGATCATTTTCGATGGGGCGGGCACCGATTCGGAAGAAGATAAGAAAGAGATAGTTGAATCACCTAAAGAGTCTGAACTCCGAAGGAAGCAATCCATCAGCAGGAAAGAATTAATATCCTAGCGTTCTGACTCAGAATATATACTTGTTAATGTGAAAGGACCAAAGCTATCGGCTCCGATCAAGATTATTGCTAGCAAGGAGAGACTATTGGTGTCTCAGTTCCTTAGTACTATGGAGGTTGCTGTACGGCTGGATCAATTGTATTATTAGACAAAATTATAGATCTGAGAAGGGAATTGGCGTGGATGTTGCAGTGGACGGCCCCTTGCTATCGAAGAAAGATAACTAGGCAATTGTCAGAGAACGTATCGGCTGAATCGGCTTAGCCAACAAGAAATCCACCGTCCAGCAGGGTTAATGCGGTTATCGATCCGCCGGTTGTGTCAGAGGCCTTGGACGACGATGGGAGGGCTATGCCTATGTACTTGATATCCTGGGTTCAAGGATGTAAGGTCCCGGCAATCCTAATCGACAGTGGATCGTTGGTTGAATTAGTAGCTGAATGGATGATAAAAGCCTTCAAGTAAAGGGATATCAGCCTCTCGATACAATCCGACGAAGGAAAAGAGATAGGTCTTGTAGACAACACCCGGACCCGGCTGACTTGTCATGTCATGTCTATTTGCCGATTAATGTGGCTGGGGTAATTGCGGAAGTAAAATGTTACATCATTCCCACTACCATCTATAGGACTCTCTTGGGACTTTGATGGATGCGGAGGGTTCGACTATTGTGTGACTTCGGGACCGGTGTGGTAACAATACAGGATGTGATGGTGGGGAGTAGCTGGTTGAATGTCAAATCGCGTCTATTGAATACTTGAATGAGCTGCCGACAGTTGAGCATGTTGTGGATGAGCTCCAACGGATTATTGATGGGGAAGGGACGTTATGGAAAACTAATACCTCCTCTTTGCGAATCCCAGCAGGGAGGAGAGGGACGAAATGCGGTCGGTTGTTTTCAGTTGTTATCGCGATATTTGTTATTGCCGAATCCTGTGTTGATTGATTTCAGCACTGACGATGTGTTTAATGACGGTTCTGCTAATGAAGTTAATGTGTTTGATGATATTGATGCGCGTAATGATTTCAGTACTGATGATTGCTTTGCCTTCGCACCGAAGTATTGTTTATTAGTAGAGTTTTCTTATTTGGCGGTGCTATGGTCTCTGGTGCGCGCATGTTATCTGCCAGTATAACCACTGCTGGGCCGTATCGATTACGAAAAGGGTAAGATTCCCAACAGAGAGAAGACCCGAACAACAGGCGATATCTCAGCATGCTTTATGTCAAATTGACAATTGGCTTGGCCGGTCAGGGATTTTACTAGGTTCGATGGCCGATTCAAGGAACGGATTGATGCAGCCAAAAGGCGATTTTATATATGGAGAGACTGTTTTGCGAAGACATGCTTTGACCTCAAGGCTACTAATTTGATTGAGCACTCGATTGACCTAATACCAGGCGCTATGCACATGAAGTCAAAATGCCTTAGATATGCACACCACGAACGGGAATTCGCGAATCGGATTCTACCAGAGATGGCAACAAGCTGGAACACTGGCCCGTATAGCCACTAAATGGGGAGCGAGGACCAAGTTCCCACCTAACAAACCAGGAGCCACTGAGTTGTGTGTCATCAATAAATTCATGCCAGTGAATCGGTGGATTACTCGAAGTGCTTATCCTGTCCATTCGTTGGATGAACTTATTGATACGGTCATCAAGCCAAAATATACAGTTTACTTCACTGCGGATGCTTCTTGGAGTTATTGGGTGGTCCCAATACGACCTGGAGATGAGTACAAGGCAGGAATCGTTACACCACACGGTCAATACGTCTATCGACGCATGGGCATGGGGCTCAGGGGTTCTATGTACACTTATTCCCAGTTTGCAGACCTGGTGCTTGGGCCGATTCCACCTGTTGAAGATGGTGACCCTTTCCCGTCCCTAATCGGCGATCACGACGCTGGCCCGTCGGCCAAACACCGGAATCGGGTTGCCGAATAGCCCATCCCAACGTGCAGGAGTGAATTGGACGCTTTTCTATGGCTTACTCCGTGCCTGAGGAGATTCATACCGGGAAGGGTCGATCGGGTCCTGATCTTGAAGAAGGCATATTTGAAGAACGTCCCCGCGGAACCCATCCAACCCAGGATGCGGGAAATGGAGCAAATGTTAAATGACTGCGATCAAGATATAACCAAATCCAAGAAATCGAGAGGTGCGGGTACGAAAAGGACAACCGTTCGTACTCGGTGGGCTGAGAAAGCATGGACCTGGGAACCTGAGCAGCAAGAGCAATTCGATTTCATCAAGAATGCCATTTTGAATAACGCCTGCTATGGCGCTGATTACACCCTACAATTCCATTTGGCGACTGACGCGTCTATATCCGGCATTGGTGGAGTGTTGTTTCAGCTGGCGGATACCCCCGCTGGAATCAAGGCTGGCCCTGCCATCAGACCTAAGGAGAGAATTATGATATTTCTATCCTTTCGGGTAAGCGATGCCGGAGAAGGAATCTCTCGCAGTTGTCCAATGTTTGGCGGATGTCAGATGAATCATTGCCGGCCGCAAATACCCTACCATTATTTACATTGATCATATCGCGCTAAAGTCCATCCTGATCATCGGCTCAAACAACGAACGGCTGCAACAATGGGAGAACCGTCTTGAGGAGTGCGACTATGTCATATACCATCGTCCCAACACCGATAATATGATAGGAATAGCCGACGGTCTCAGTCAAATGCCCCCATATTATCAATCGCAAGCAGTTGCAGAGGACGATCCAGGACCTTTAGCAGCCGCGGCGATGTCCCACGAACACAGAATATTGATCACCGCCATGTCCGATCAATTTAAGAAGTATATCGAATCCCCTATATGTCAAGGAATCATTGAGCAGCTGAAAGGTGACAATATCTACCTACCGAAGCTGTCTCGTCACGAGAGAAAAGCGTTGGAGAGGAATTGCAGTCGGTATAAGCTGATAAACAATCATGAAAGACATTTGATGTGGCAGGAAACGAATGGGAGGTGGAGCCGATGTATTGTGGAAGAGGAGATCGCTCATATATTAACGGTTTTTGACGAAGACCATGGTCATTACGCCGACGCCATTACGTTTGACGCGATGATTGGCAAGGTGTACTGGCTGAAAAGAACCCGCGGTGTCAAATATTGGTGTATGACCTGCGATACATGTCAAATATCCGCGAAGAAAAACCCGTCTAGCGCCCACTTACGATCCCAACAGTTCGAGCCATTGTCTATATTCGGTATGGACTCTGCTGGACCCATCAACCCGCCCTGTAACTCCACTGGTGCCAGGTATATCCTTGTGTGCATTGATTATTTTACCCGTTTCATATGGATACACCCCTGTGCGAGAGCCACGGAAGAAGGGGTCATATATTTGTTCGAAAGGTGACTATCTCCTGCATTCGGATGGCCGCCCCAATGTGTTTAGCGATAATGGAGCTCATTTTACTGGGTATAAGTTGGCTGGCAAATCCCGATCGAAAGGCGTATCGCACGTGACCTCGCCAATCTTCCACTCCAAGTGTGTTGTCTGTGCTGCGCTACAACGACCCGTCTAACACTGCGCAGTTGGGGGCTGGTCATTGAGAACAAGATGCGTTCAATAATTGGACGGTTAATTCAAGTTCATGGCCACACTCCTGCAGAACTGCTTATGGGGTTTAACCCACAGCGCCGCCACTATGATATAACACCAACTCCACTCATGGACGCTCCCCCGGATCGGTGGGGTCAAATCGGCGATAATCGCATGGATCTTATCCCCGCACATTTAACGCAGATGTATCATGCTGCAATCGAAAAGATGACAATTGACTATTGAGGCATTAGCTATCAGCAACGCTGCATCTGAGGAACAAGCCATCCAGCGATCCAGTGGTCGGCATGTCGTTCGGGAAGGGGACTTGGTATTGGTCCGTGGTTTCCAGCGGGACAAGGCGCATGGAAGAAAGCTAGATGCCCGTTGGACTGGACCTCAACGAGTTGTTAGCACCCATCCAAACCAGCGGACCATTATGGTGGAGGGATTGTACCAGCAATCGACGCGATCGGGAGGACCGAAGAAATATCATGTGGACGATGCCCGCGTCTATCATGTTAGGAAGTTCGATCCTTATCACCGCAACGAAATCGCGCATACGCCAGTCCTGCGGATAGGACGTTCGCTGGTGTCTATGGCCGGGTTTCCCGGTCAAAGGGCGCTGTTTCTGTGATGAAGATAGAGATGGCCGGTTGACGAGTATCAAATGATCAGTGAGAGATCCCGGCCATGATTTCACAGCCATACACACGGGATCGATTCCTCACCTGGATCTCAGTTCGTTGATCAACCACTTCAGATCAAAGAGGCTCAGTTGAATATATTCCTCTCCATCCATCACATTCTCCTCTTTTCCTTTCAACTTCTCTCTCCAACCTTCTTTTACGTTACTGCTATCTGCCCTTCTTTTAATATTTATTATCGTCGACAGCTACAGACGCCCCCCCCCATGGTCATGATGACCGACTCCAGCTCTGCAGATAGCTCCACCGAGCGCGAATCTGCTATCAAAATGACCGATTCTGAGATCGCTCAGGTGGAATGGCAGCTCAATCAGCCAGAGCAACGAGTTGATTCAGCCGATGCACCTCTTGATACACCCGACGATATATCTAGTTCGCCAGCCTCGGAGCCGGAGCCTAAAAGGTGCAAGGCCGAAGAGGAACACCAGGTGGAATATCAGCAGAGCGCTACGGTTAGTTTCCTGGTCGATGGTAGGAGTATTCCTATCACGATCTCTACGGGCGAGGCAAGGGATGAATCGCCCTGTCTACTGGTCGGCCTTCTCCCTGACGTACCCACGCATCCTCCGCTAGGCCCGCCTACTGGTGAATTCGCCGGACCTTCCCACGGTAACGATACTCACCCTGCGACTCCGTCTGCTGATGTGTTGCCTATTGTTCCACCCCACGCACCTCCTGATGAATCCGATGCTGCCTTTGGCGCCGATCCAAATGGCGGGGCCAACGAACCTGCTAACCACCCCCTCAACCTCGCTATCAGTGTTGATAGCCTGTACCGCGGGGCATACAATGAAAACCCCCTGCAATTTCCGGTGGGAATTTACATACGTGACGATCCTGACCCTTTGAAATGCCGTCTAGTGACCATGGGCTTTAATGCCCTAGGGCGCCCCATTCGGAATGTATTGAAACACAACATAACTGGGCAGGTTGTCCCGATGAATGGCACGACAAGGAAAAGATTTCGCGGGTCATCCATGAGACCTGTGGAGATAAGCTATTTTGCGGAGGTCCCAGCGGCACAGGGGGCGGAGGCAGTCAAAAGCTGGGTATTCGACCAGTTGGAAAGTCAAGGAATCACAGAACAACTCAACTGGAGGAATTACGAGGTCATGTGTACTGAACCCTACCGCCGTATACTCAGCCGTGACAGGATCAATCGCCTTGCGAATTGCGGTTTTCTGGTGCCATTGTTTACAGGGGATGAAGCCGACAAAAAAGCCGACAATTTCCTCCGTTCGATACAGCGACTGAATGATGAATTTATTGCGGCGGTTAAAAAGACCCAATGCGACAATGATGCCGTAAACGAACACAACCCTTTTAAATTTCAAGAGCTATACGCTGAGATGGTTTTCCTCAAGGATAAGCTTGACGCTGTTTTAGATGGCGAACTTTTTCAATGGTCCTGTGCCAACATTGCCCATGAAAGAGATCAGGTGTTGGCGGACGCTCTGGAAGGCAAAGAATCGGCTGATATCCTGTCCTCTACCCTAACGGACAAGGACTTTCATGGCTGATTGGGTCTATCGCCGGGGTCTACAGTTGATGCTGGCATGAGCCGATAATAGCCGAGCGCGAGCTCATCCTTTGGGACAAGATGGAGTTTGGGCCACATAGTGTACCCAGTCAAGAGCTGCTGTGGGTCTGATGATTCAGTTATGCTTAAGTGAACTTTCTTCAATTTTAACTTCTTACCTTTCCACCTAAGCGAAGGTTTCGAAACCTACGTTCTGGTTTGCAGATTTGGTGGCTGCCATGTGTATATACTGAATACATAGGATTGCTTACCACATCGCGAACTGCTTGGTACAGAGAGTCTCAAATTGATAAATATTTAACAAAAGAAAGGGGTGAAACATTTGTTATTCATACTTAATTACAACTCCGCCTCTAGCCGCGCAATTTGTAAAGGATACAAGCTTTTTCTTTTTTCTCTCCCGATATCGGTCGCTCATACTCTTTGCCATGACTATGTCTGTTTTTTACGTTTCTATTGTTAGGGCTGTCTGTGGTCCTGGAGCTAATGCAATCAAAATTTTTTTTTCTTGGTGTTTGTTCAAGTGTTGCACTGCAAGTATACCAGACGTTCATTTCTAAAATAGATACCGGATCGGATCCGGATCTTCAATTTAGATAGACTGCAGTAAACAGCGCAGGCCTGAATATGACACCAAATGATACGAAAGCCTCTGCTGGGGCAGATTTGGAAAGCGACTCTGACACCAGGTTCAAATCCCAGACGTCTTCAGAAGCGAAGGCTGAGGAACAAGCAACATTTGCACTGACTCAGGATGCCTTCGGCGACGAGTCAAATGCTGAAGTGAAATACAAGGTCCTATCATGGTGGTAAGCATCAAAACGCAAGGACTGGCATACTTTTTGTTGGGATTTGGCTGATAGTGGCCAATAGGCAATGTGGATTACGTCCGTCTACCAACCAGATTACTTTATGCAAGTTAAACTGACCCGTTGCCAGTCATGATCGCAGAATCGATATCCCTTGGCGTCTTATCCTTACCAGCAGCCGTTGCTACGCTCGGCCTAGTCCCGTTAGTGATCCTCTACTCCCTACGACTACGACTTTGACTAATAATCCGACGGCACATTAAGGGCGGTTATTCTTATTATTGGTCTTGGGCTTTTAGCAACATATACTGGATATGTCTTAGGCCAATTTAAATGGAAGCATCCCCAGATTTCCAATATGGCAGACGCGGGTGAGGTCCTGCTGGGGGCGTTCGGTCGAGAGCTGTTATGTGCCGGACAAACACTGTTCCTCATATTCCTCATGGCAGGCCATCTTGTGACCTTCACGGTCGCACTGAACTCTATCAGCAGCCATGCGACCTGTTCAATGGTCTTTGGTGTTGTTGGGCTTGTGATCTCGCTCATTTGTTCTCTGCCCCGGACGATGAAGAACATCTCATGGCTTTCTATACTTTGTGAGTGGGATCATACAAATATACTCTTCATCTTGCATTCCTTTGCTTGTCTGCTAACCAACTGGTTGACAGCCTTTATAAGTATCTTATCTGGTGTGTTCGTTACGATGATCAGTGTGGGTATCACAAAACCTGGCACAGGCGCTGCAGCAACGACAAAAACCAACCTATATCATGGGTTCTCGGCAGTATCTAACATTGTATTTTCTTACGGTGAGCATCTCTCTCAGGGTTACTCTGTATTGAGTACTAACGCTATTATGTTCTCAAGCCGGGCATATCGGATACTATAGCTTCATGGGTGAATTGAAGAACCCCCGTGACTTCCCCAAGGCTCTCTATTTGCTCCAAGCTGCTGAGATTGGCATTTACCTCTTGGCATCTCTCGTGATATACCGTTATGCTGGTGCAGACGTTGCCTCGCCTGCGCTTGGATCGGCCCCTTCGGTCGTTAGTAAAATAGCCTACGGGCTTGCGTTACCCGCTGTATGTACCTATCCAATCATATCTAGGTTTTCAAGGATAAGCTAACAGATCTCTCAGATCTTAATATCCGGCGTCGTTGCAGGCCATGTTGCCTCAAAGCTTATCTACATGCGTATATCCCATGGTACAGACCGGATGCACAAGCGGGACTTCCTTGCAGTTGGATCTTGGATTGGGGTCATCTTGACACTTTGGGTCCTTGCATGGATAATCGCCGAAGCCATTCCTGGGTTTAATAGTATTCTTACTTTGATCAGTGCGCTGTTTGCGAGCTGGTTCTCTTATGGTCTTCCTGGGTTCTGTTGGCTACACATGAATGCCGGCGCATACTTTGTCTCGGGTAAAAAGGTCTTGCTGACTTTCATTAATGTATCGACAATATGTATGGCTTTTTGTATATGCGGCCTGGGTGTTTATGTTGCAGGGAAGGATATTCATACCAATCATTCTGGGGCTAGTTTTTCTTGTGCGAATAATGCCTAGGTATTTTTGTATTGAACATTATTTTTTGTACGTTATTTGAGCAGTGTCACATAGAATCCCACTAGACCAAAACAACCATAAGGCGTCAAGGTCGTGGCTTGAATACCTAATCCCTACATGATCCCCAACATCATATATAACATTTTCAAGTATTTCTCAGAGGTGCTCGGATCTCAAAATTTCCCGTAGGCCAGTCTACAATATCCCTTTGGTCGTTATAGAAAGGATGTTGCCGACACCTGGTTTCGACGGTAGATCTCATGCAGTATAATATTATATTCTATACTAAACAATTATATACTCTTCCAGAATCTAACCGCGACTATTCTCAATCAGGTGAGGGTATATTGTAGTTACTGTTTTAAGGGTATACAAATATGCAGAAGGGTCAAGAACGGCTATCTAAACAAAGAACGGTCTTGTTCCGCTGATTTCCACCCTGCGGTGGTATATCTGGTTGATCTCATCGTGTCTCTGAAAGCTTCTATGTCCCATCTGATAAAAACATCATCATGAAGCCAATGGCCAGTCTCACACTGTAGCAGTGTATTTCGGTGGTGGGAGAGAATTCATAACAGTGGAATCCGAAGCGTCTGATTCCTCATAGTCTAAGCTGGTATGGTGATTATTGGATGCGTACTGTAGCATCAGAGGTACCTTAATGGTAGTACTAGCGGTTTGTAGAGCGGTTTTGGGCGTATGGAAAGAAAGGCGAAGATTAACGCTGTAAGTGCGGGAGATTAAACAAGAGTGGAAGGTCGGTATAAGAGTCATTCTTGGTGGTAAGACGATAGGTAAGACAATAGACGCTGTATAGTAGCTCCGACTATCATTGCATGGTGCTGTATGGTCCGACAATGATTGTCCGTCCTGTCCTTGGATTCCATGCTCATCACCTATTTCTTGATGTTTCACCCACTGGACTGACCCCATCGAGAATGCCATGATGGGAAAGGTGTCAGTAAACGCTGCTCGATCCCATCCATTAGCGAGTCCCCTGTCCGTCCAAGATGGATAATCCTCCCATGGAACAGGACTATAAAATGTGGCAACTTGAAGTTTGGCGGATGCCTTTTTCAACTGAGGAGGCGCTGCGTCCATTACGGGGTTGAATCGCAAATTGAGACGCACCGCCGTATGCACACCATGGTTATCGAATGGGGATTGGAGCGAAATTGGAGGAATGTGTGAGGCTTCCGTTATTAGCTCCCCTAGCCCAGGATGCGCAAAACCCAGGCTGAGATTTTGTTCCGTCCGCGTATAGATATCTGAGCCGAGCATGGGCAGGCCCGAACGTGGTGTATGCACGGAGGTAGGAAGAACCCGCACACTCTTAACGCAGTCCACAGGGCGGCTTGGTCTTCTACTTCCTGGCATAGAGTCCTTTGAAAGAACCACTCGCACGCGGTATGATATATGGCACTTCCCGGAAGAAACATAATCTAGGGTTGGCCTCTTCCCATTTTCAAGTTTGGGGTCATCGAGCGTCGGGGGTAACTGAAGATGGGCTTGTTTGAGGTCCGAGCAGTTGACATTGTGATTGCATGATTGGCAAGGTAAATATTGAGGAACGACAAAGGTAAATGGAAGCCTGTAAGAGCACCCTGGCTGGAGTATCTTCGGTACGCTCTCTATACCTAGAGTGACAGGTTGTTTGAGCTGCAGAAATGTCTGCGTAGCTTCAGTGTTGCCAAGGGTCCAGCTCTCGCGCTCGATGGATACCCTGGCAGTGCCTTCGCAATAGTGTCAGACTCTTGTGCACAAATGAACAGCGTAAGGATCACGAAAGGAGTCAATAGGATATCATCATACCTTCAAAAGTAATGCTGATATTCTCGAGTGGGGTCTCCGAATCCACGGTAATGATCACCATTCCTTGGATCCGGCCAAACGTGGTATAAGTGTTTTCCAGGCCATAAGTATTCTTATCTAGCTCGATTGTGACTAGGGGGGAAGGCCTGCGTATGGATTTGAGCAGGTCGAGGGCGCCGCGTAGTCTTGATTGTGGTGTCATTGTATCCATTTTATGCAATAGAATTCCTCTAGACGAGGACTTTCACAACAGGTTGTGTTTCACCCATACCCAAGTTTTCGTAGTAACAAACATCTGGTGCCTACAGTAACTTGGTAGATTGAAGCACGGCATTTGTTACCTAGATTATTTTCCTTGGTCTTTGGATGGTAACGCTGACCATGTGTTGTATGACTAGATAGAAGGCTAAATAACCAGAATGTCTCAAGACAACGAAGACGCTGAAGAATTATAAAAGGTAATGCACGATAACAACTATGCTTCTCGCTTTTATTTCTACTTTTCTTAAGTGCCCTTTTTTTACCCTCTTTCTTTTTGTTTTCTAATGCAAATGTTGCTCGGAGACCATACGGAGCGACAATCGGAGGAAGGCCCGAGGATAACCGAGAGGTCATTTCGAGTCTGATCCAAGCTTAGTTCATGCCCTAGTTGCTTCTAAGGTTGTCCAAATTATACGTAAATTCCACATTTTTTATTACCCACATACACTTTCCGCTAACCTTATCAGCAGTTGGGGTCATTCAGACCGAGTGATGTTCGGCATACCGCGTCGCCCGCCAATGGGGCCACACGGCACACCTCTTGACTATTCTGATACGATACGATCCATTGGTGTCTACAGGAAATTCTTTACCTATTCAAGAATACATTCATAAATTTGACTTAGTATCCTACTTGGACTAGACTTTCCCCAGGCTGAGCCTCTGCAATTGACCATACTCGCGAATCCTGCAATGCCCTTTGCTTGATCGCTGTTTTCAGAGTGCTAATATGTGGGCCCACCACCGTCTTCCCCAGCTATTTCAATATAGTCAGACTTGTGTTCAGTTCGCCAAGAATTCTCGTCCATTTTAGATAATATTCGCGGCACGTAACAAAATTATCCCATTCTTGTCGTAGCCTTTCACTCTCCAGAATACATAAGAATATCTTCAATCGATGGCTCATCAAGGGAGAATTCAGACAAAGGTAGTCTCTATTCGAATTTTTTTTGTTCGGGTTAGCGCGAGAACAGGAAAAACTCTACATTCAGCCACTCACAGCATTCAGGAAGAAATCCGACCCGTCGTCCACATTGTCGTTAATTTCCGCCTCGGTTGTGTTATTGTTCGGTTTGACGGCCGTCATATTACGCTTTATTTCAGCGACTTGGTCGAGAATATGACTAACCTCGTCTGCCTTTCCAGCCAGCTTGGCACTTTCAAACATATCCCGTGCTTGTGCAAGTATACGCATAACCCCTTCAAGGTCGATACAGTCATATGCAACGCACGTCGCACGAGATAGGAAGTTGATTGCCAGGCCTAGAGCGGAGCCCGAATAGTCCTGTGCAGTTTAAGTATACATAACTTCGTATGAGCTAAGAAGGACGTACGATCGAATAGTTCAAGTTAGTTTGGTAGTCGATGGAACGAAGAGCACATTTAAGCAACGATTTCCCGGCAGCAACAGCTGCTCGAATGAATTGAACTCGAAGCGCATCGTTTCTGGCACTATCCGGCTTGAGACCGTGAAGAACGAATCCATTCAGGTGCCTGTAGTTTTACTCAGTATCCAATCATTCTATAACCACGTCTGATGGCGTTCACTTACATTCGGGCAAAGTTGTACGGTATCGCCATTCGATTGCGGTCCTGGGGTTTGGAAAACGTCTGATAAATGGGATCCATTTCTTCATCATTCCGTCGAAACCATGATTCCAGCTGTTTGTCATAAAACTGGAGCTGCCTGCAAACATCTGATGTAATTGGCTGCTCCTGAATATTACCTGAGATAATCACGTCCTTTTTTGCCTGATCTGATACAGTAAGACAGACGATAAGTTTGGAATGTTGGCCAATTTCAGATCCAAATCGACAATACTTACTGAGGATGCCGTAGAACTCCAAATATGCCCGTATTCGATAGTCCACATTACGCCGATATGGCATGGACGTCAAGTCACTTCCTAATCTCGTATAGCGATCAATCTCACTTATAAAGTACGTTTTGTTGATATTATGCCTGTAGTCAGACGGTCAGCTTTGCTACTAGGGAAGTGAGGAAATGATTGAGAAGAGTACACAAGATCAACGCAGCAGAAGGATAGCCATGTCCTTGCTCTGTCAATAGAATCTTCATCATGCTCGCTGGCCTTATCTACTAAACTCAAAGCCGTCTCGGGAAGTTGCATTTGATAAGCAATTGATAGCACGAGTCCCAAGAGCCGGTAATTCTTGTGCCACACGGCTATTAACAATATACCCTTTAGTGTCTCGAGAGAAGGGACGGGTCCGAGTAATGTTTGCTGAATTAATGAGTAGGTTTCGTTTAGACATTGACGATACAGCCTAGGTGCAGACGCGCGGGCACCGATCGTACACATGGCCGCCAAGAGGAGCGGATATCTGCGGGTTTCCTCGAATGAGTCCATTGTGTTATCGAAAAATGCAATAATCTCGCTGCAGTTGGCCCCGTAGCTATCGAAAATAGGTATCGTCAGCTGTAAGTGAGATCGTGACATCGATGGCTATGAGAACATACAAGTCGAAGAGCTTTCGACAATCCGCCAACGCCAATATCCCCTTGTCGACGAGATCCTTCGCATCATACCCTGCTTCGGATAGCTCGGGGCTTGATTCAGCCTGAATATCCGGGCGAATGGCCTGATCCCTAGTCGACCGTGCAGTGAATCCAACTAATGTTCCACTCATATCTTGCAAACCAACATGACTGGATATCTGCTGTAGAGCCCCTCGGAATGAATGGAATGAGGAGCTTACTGCATCCTCAAGTTCTCTAATCCGCTCTTCCAGCGCCGATGTACGGTCATCTTGTTGTGTGCTATTCGAACTGTAAGCCTTTAGTAGGGTAGAAGAGATTCGGGTACTAACTCGCTGGAGATGGCTTCTATCGTTCCAATGCCAGTTCGGGGGCTCGGTTTAGAAGGGACGAATTTACAATCCGAGCCACTCGATTTACATCTACCTTCGTTTATAGCTCAACATAACCCAGACTCATTATACGCGCATGCTTACCTGATGCAAGACCCACCATTAAAACCAGTACACCTGACCCTGCATGATTGTGAGAAAACTATCGAACCGCACATATACATGGGATGCTTACTTTAGTTTCCTGCATCGCGTACAAGCCACTAATGACCTGGGATTGAGGATCAGGTTAAGTGTTTAATAGTTGAGGTACCGAGGCACAGGCATACCTTGGGGGTATCGATGATGAGGACATGGCTTTGTGCAAGATCGCCTCGTCCACCCAATTGCATGGGGATTAATATCAAAGGCAAACACCTTTGGCTCGTGAGCTCGTGACGTTGTCTATCTAACACGGATATGGCGCGCATGTGGAGTGCAAGACGGGGGAGATTTGGTTATCGCTCGCCCGTGCTTGGCATTTCCAATCTGTCCCACTTGACTAAATGCCATATATTAGTAATGGCTGGATGTACTTCCTTATGCTGTTGGTTTCTTGGATATATCACAGATTCGTGATCACTCTAGGTGCTCTCTTCTCTAGTATTGGTTCTATTATAGCCACTATATATACTTCATACCATTTCTCTACTATTATGAGATATCTATATATCTCTTCAATGAGAATCTCGTGGTTATCGAAACATAAAACAAGGCAAGGGAGTATTATATTAGCAGAACTTATTCACCCCAACAATACCTTGATACTATGTGGCATTGGCACCTCAGATAACGCGTGGTAGGCTTTGACTTGGAGAAAAAGCAAATGGGAGGGCATGGAGAACATGGAGAACATGGAGGATGTGCGGAACGTTGAGGACGTGGAGGGCGCAGACCTGACCAATGGCACACACTCATTAATCTGCCTCTAGTCAATTTCTACCTATACTCTTAGGGGAGTGTGGAGCGGAGCTCTTAACTGTTGTATAGCGGATACAAATCGTCACACTGCTACTCCAAATCCTGATATCTAGTGTTCACATGGTTTGTTAGCACATCTCGTCACTACCGGGTGATAATATCCTACGGGACAACATTTATACCCAGACGTCTGACACATTCCTGGTCATAAACGGTGTAGACAATCATACATGCATTGATTGGAAATCTGGCGTGTGTATTTCCTGCTTTTATCGTAAGAGTAATATCGTGTGTAGATTCTAGTATGTACCCAGCTCCAAGTTGATATAAGCAGGATTATATCAAGATCGCCGATTTCAGAGAGAAATGATCCAAAATAGGGGAGTTGGAATCCAGTAAAGCAACAGTGAGTTCTGCATTTCCATCATTACATACAACTATTTTCCTTTTTGATCGGACATGGCCAACCTTCGGCGTTGGTATTTCTCCCAGCCAAAGTTGTTCAGACGACCAACACGCAATTCAATCGCCGCAATGAAGCCATAACTCCACAGAATTATCTCGACGAGCGTCTGCGCAATCATGCGCACGGTCACACCACCAAAAAACGGCTTTCGCAGAACATAGCCACGCAAGAAGGAGGAATTACATGAAGATATCGACATGTTCTCCCTTCGCAGTGGTATTCTGGGACATACTATATTATAATATGATTAGTATGATTCCTTCAGTTAATTTTAACAGAAATTATCAGAAACTTACCTCGCAGGTATACCTCCTGTCACAATTGAGGCCTTGCAAACAAGAGACACCGATAAGATGACCAGGACAGACTTGCCGCTAAATGTCGTCATCGTATTCAGTGGGCACGACCGACGCAGATGAAGACGTGGTGGGCTCTGTGATTGACCAGGCTGGAGGTGGGCGAGCGGTCTGAGGTTGTCTCGGAGAAGCACGACGATCTGGAATCCCAACAGACGGCAATGTATGCGTGGTGGTCTCTGCCATTGATGGGGCGGAAGGTTGGGGGGGGGGTCCAGTTTAAGGGTCGTGGTGGACGAGCATGCTGATCTGGGCTCATCGTCTCTGGTCTGTTCTCCTCGCCATCTGAGGTGTGTCAACCTGTACACGATGAAGAACCATATTGTGAGGGACAGAGACCGCTTAATGCGTTTTAAAGCTGATAACGGTTGTAGTTGATGTGATATACCCAAACCATAAAGTAGATAACAGAAAGAATGTAAAAGAAAGATAGTAAAGGACACGAGGGCGGTGAAAAGAGAAAAGAAAATTAGATTAGGAAAGGTGTGGGACGAAAATGGTGGTGAATATACGATGGATGGTCATTCCTACGGCCGGTGGTCCATTCTTGTCATTCACATCCATTCACAATGTTTATCTCTTGCTGTTAGCGTAATAGCAATATCATGTGTAGGTTCCTAGTATATAACCAGCTCCCAGTTGATGTAAGTAAAATTATATTGACATGGTCTAAGTACAGTATAAAACTTGAACAGTACTAATTAAGTGCTTTTCTACTATAGCTATGCTACTTATATAGCTTTAAACCGGGGTAGCTACAATTATTTCCACATAGTGTTAGCTTTTTCGCTTAAAGCAGACAGACCATTAGAAGCGAAATCTCGCAAGAGTCACAATGCGTTGACGAGGAATACTGCTTTAGCAAAATCCACCCCAAGAAGAATAGCATAATTATCTACAAAAGGTAGCTTCTTTTTCTCTCTTTCTCGATACATATCTTCTGTTGCTTATATAGAGAGAGACGGCTCTATTACTATAGCAGTGGAAGAAAAGTATTTTAACGTGATTTGATGCCTATGTTTAGCTGTTACCAGGTAGAAAGTGGTATATAAACGTAGCAGGAACGTGAAGCGAAATGAAGAAAATGCTCTTTGAGAAGAGTCTTTTCATTCACAAAGTAGCAGAATAAATATATTGGTCTTGCACTAGGAATAGTTTCTTTCTGATCATCCTCACGTTTATAGGGGAGATCCTGACAATAAGAAGGTAGCAAGCAGCGCGTGTCCAATCAGCCTCCTACTATACAAATAGAGCCATGTTTCCTGTCACAGCCTGATATATCGGATTCCTGTTTACACTCGACGTGATACTTCCGTGCATACAGCATCCCAAAAAGCTCGATATGCACACCGAAGCCCTTCGAGCCGTGGTGAATATGAATCGAGATAGTCAGAAGCATAGTTGGATGCCTCCAAAGAGAGTATAAATATCTTGAATCTCTCATTGAAATTGTCGGTTGTTTGAAACTTAAGCGAAGAAATAATTGTTGCATGTCTGTCTAGTACAAGAACAGTCGGTGTATAGTCTTAGTATACAGTATGTCAGCTTTCGAGTAACAGGAAAGAGGACAACAAGAATAATAAATAAAGAGGATACAGGTAGTGGTATATAGATAATATATCGGGGATAGATTAGAACTTACCTATTATCGCAGCAAGGGAAGGATCGACTCCATAGAGCTGCTTAAAGACATGACGATCATTACGGGGAGAAATTTGCTCGCCGTCCTCTGTAATAAAACCCTCAGGATTATATAACTTAGCATCTCCTCGAAAGTTCCCCTCATGCGCGACTATATTTCCTTGTCCGATAAGCATCCTATCTTCGCTAGACGGCTCCTTCAGAATATCTCTCTTAAATGTAGAAAGAAATCGACTCCTGATCTGAGAAAATCCAACAACATATTGTGCGTTGTTCTGTTGTCCGATCTTATTGATCGTGTGATGGAGGTCGGAAATCTTCCGTTCTTGTGCTCGATTAGTGTCCTCGTACTTTCTACGAGCGTCCTCGTGCCTTCTAAAGGCATCCTCGTGCTTTCTAAGGGTATCATCGTGCTTTCTAAGGGTATCCTCGTGCTTTTGAAGTTTGGCCAATGTCGATTCCAATTTAGTCTGTAACATGGGCAATGTGGCATTCTCACGGGCGATACTCAAACTCGCACTGTTTCCGGTCCACATGTTATCGTGCACCACCTCAGAGTATAGCTCATCTGTTTCAAGGCACTCAGCCAAGGCTCTTTTGGCACCTGTCTTCATCTCGGACTCTGAAGCGATATTAAGCGTTGTTGCTAGCAAAGCTGTGGACCTTTCGTCGCTGTGTATGGCAATTTCATTATCAGCATCAGAAAGAGTCTGATTAAGTCTTCTTGAACGTTTCTCTCGAGGCATAGTGATTATAGGATAGTAAATGAGTTTAAGAAAGCGAGTAGAAAGACCTATTAGATGGTGTTGTGGATCGTGTAGACTTACGGCCACTGGGGGTAAGAAAAGATGTCTGAAACCTACAAAGCAGAGCCGCCGATTAAATTGTGGTAAATGGGAGTGTTCGAGAGAAGGTGCTCTTAGGGAAGGCAACCACGACCAGTGTTGATGAGATCACTTTCTTTTTGATAGCGTAGATACTAGATGAAGGGGTGTATGTAACGATAGCAGAAGTATCAAGAAGAGTATTAAGAATACCAAATAAGTCTAAGTGGCGCGAGGGTGGTGAATGGAAAAGAAATTCTGATCTGGCGTGGGAAGAAAAAGGTAGCGAAGGCACGTATGGTCATTCCTATGTCAGATATTTCTTACTATCCATGACGTCGACAACCCATAAATTACATGCACGATTTTAGCGTAATAGTAAAAGCGTGTGTAGATTCCGAGTACTACGTACCCAGCTCCAAGTTGTTGTTGATATAAGCGAAGTAATTGCTTTTGGACAAACTTATATGATAAAATAGCCAACACTATACAGAGATACTAATTCCTAAACAACATATCGGAATGAGGGATTTTCCATCTACATCCGACCAGTGTTACCAATTAATAAGGATCAATATAGCAATCATATCTTACATCTGTCAGATCAGTCAAGCCGGAGGTACCATCGATGTTAGCCTCTAAGGAGGGCTGCGATGCGTCTCGCTACATGCGAAGGATCAGTATGCTGTCACCAACATGCTGTGAGTTTGATAGTGAGTTACTTTACCTTTCTGTTCTTGTGCATGTATAATCTATGCAGTATCACAAGCAAGATAAAATCGAGGGCCAGGCAAATAATCATTGCGATGAACCCGGAACTGTAGTGGGGTTCCTCTCTCTCAAAGAATAGCTGGGGTCCAATCAAGTTACCCACGCAGTACCTATACCTCATTAGAAAACAGAACAGTAAGAAAGGTGTCCATGATCAAACATACGCAATGAAAAGAGCGGCAGTAACAACGGTCTTTTTCGTTCGCCCGGCGATGTTGGCTTGGATCAGCCCTAATGAAAGGACATAAGTTGCACTAAACCCAATGGCAAGATAGTATCCGCTGGTTTACCTGTCAGAAATGCCCCTGTTGAGAATAATTCAAAATAGCTCATGGGGGAAACATACAAGAGCTGACCAAGCTTATTTTCCTCTGGAAGAGCGTACATGAGACTCATTCCCAGAATAGAGACGACAAGACCCCCACACATCAGAATGATACGGCAGTTTTTGATTTTTCCTGCAAGGAAGCCCGTAATGAGAAGGGCCAATACCTGTGCTCCCCCAAATGGCATCCCCAGGAGGGTAGTTCCAAGCTTCGAGTAGCCAAAGCCCTCAATAATCAGTGGCCCGAATGCACTGATGCCTCCCTGAGCATTTAATCAGTTTTGCTTTGACAGAAAGGCCACTGAAGATAGTTCGCATACATTTGGGATATTATTTGCAATAACAAAGAGTATTAAGATCCACACTTGAGGATCTATAAAAGCTTCGCGTGCTTGATAGAATTTGAACTCTTTATTGTCCAGACCGGTCTTGTTCTCGGACACTCGTTTGACGGCAATATCCTTCTCCGCGGAAGATAACCATTTCGCTGCTGTAGGATTCGGAGCAGCAAAGAGGAAGAAGGGCACTGCCCAGACAACTGTGGCGGAGCCAAAGATAAGAAAAGGGAACTATATGAGTTGACACTTCAGTTAGACAAAAATATGAACGGCACTGATGATCCATTTGCTTACCTTGTAAACCGGAATATCGCTCTTAATGTGCCCAATCCCGTACTGTGGTATTATCAGTCAACCATTTTCTTCATAATTATTTCAGAATACTAACAGCCACAATGCCCCCAACCACTTGGGCAATGCCGTTCATCGAGAACCAAATGCCAGTCCGAAGAGGTTGCTCGTTTCTATCCTGATCAGTATCCACACATATCCATTCCAGAATGGACCTCACCTTTTATAGAACATCGAAGTTAACTGTACAAAGCAGGGACTAACGCCACTTTCCAGGGCACCTAAAAAAAAACGAACAGCCATCAAAGCGGAGAAATTATCTGCAGCAGCCATGCAGAGAAGGACTGCTCCCCAAAGAAAACTAGCATCAGTTAGCCACATGTTGCGAATGGCAATTAGAGGTACCCATTTTGTAGTAACTCACATTAAAGTCCCACAAGATCTCGTGATATGCACCTTTTGGAACAGGATATTCATGGGGAATTCACCGACAAGATAGCCCAAATAGAATATTGTTGTCAACCCTGTAGACTCCAATTATTCCCTGTTATCAATAGACGATATCGGAGGCAAGCACACATGAATACTGATCGCCCACTAGGTGAGCCTCCTCTTTCATTCCCCACAGGGCAGCATATGAAATACATGTCTTATCCACGAATTGGATGAGGTACGTGCCCATGAGCTAAATGAATCAACATCAGTACGGTCGCATCTGACATACGGGATACAAAGATTACCCAGGGAAGAAGAAACCAGTCAATCTTGCGCAACACAGTATGGTTCTCGGCTTCAGTATATGGGGCATCCTCCGTTGTCCCATGCAACGTTCCCAATGCAATGTCGGGGTGCTGTGGAGTAAGGTCGCATGCTTTAGTGTCAAGTGTGTCTGACTTCTCGGTGCCGATCTGCACCATCGTGTCTCGATTCATACTTTTCGGGACAAGGACCTTGGGGATTACTTTGTTGACTGATACAATAGAGATTATTTATGTCATAGCACTTCGATTCACTTGGAAGATAAGTCTATTACAAAAGGGTTTTCCATGTTATATACGCAACCACTACGTAATGATTCAGCCAAGACGACAATAAACAAAAGGATATCACCTGCCCCCCGTCTCTGGCCACAACAGCCATACAGTAGGACCAAATGGGCTCTTGGCTGAAGTTAAAGAGATAAGAAAGAGGAGATGGAGATACTCTTTGTCGGCCGGGCCGATCTATACGCTCGGTAGCTCGGTCGGCCCGCCCGATCCGATCCGTGCCATATACTATCAAAGGATGAGTGAAGACGCCTAAATACGCATATAAGAAGACATAAGGAGATCCTTCTTGACCCCTGCTCTTCGCTATTTTTGTGAACATCTTCCTATTACTAATTGCAATCATGGCGATCAATGTCATCAACCAACAAAGCAGCGAAGGCACTACTGGTCTTCCGAAGGATGTTATCCAACTAGTGTCGGAGGCCATTGACTCTGCGTCATCAGAATTGCGTCGACTGAACTTAGAGGTAAATTCAGTGCACCTTTTATCTATGATAAACCTCTAATGGCCGTAGATCTGGAATAATCCCGAAGTGCGATTCAAGGAAGAGAAAGCCTGTCAGTTGTTAGCCGGATGGTTTGAGAACCAAGGCTGGACCGTGAAAACTGGTGTATACGGTATCTCCACAGCATTCGAGGCACGCTTTTCCGTCATACCGGGGGAGAGATCAGTCTGCTACAATGCTGAATACGGTGAGTCTGCCAACAGCTAACGGGCTCGCAGCTTGCTAACAATGAAGCGTCTTCGTAGATGCCCTTCCTGAGCTTGGTCATGCATGCGGTCACAATCTCATTGCAACATCAACGCTGGCATCAGCTGTAGGGGCTTCTGCCGCTATGAAGGCATTGGAAATCCCAGGAACGTTGATTGTGATTGGTACGCCCGCCGAAGAGACCGGCGGGGGTAAATACATCATGGCAAACCATGGTGCTTGGAAGGACTGTAGCGTCGTTCTCATGACACATGCAATGCCAGACTTCTCTACCGCGAGGCTTGTGACGAAGGCTTCATGGAAATTCAGAGCCAAGTTTTACGGAAAGGCCGCGCACGCGGCAGCTGCGCCGTGGAATGGTAATAATGCCTGTGATGCCATTGTAATGGCGTATAACGGTCTAGGGCTACTTCGTCAGCAAATCCAAAAGACAGAAAGCATTCAGTCCGTCATCCTTGAAGCTGGAAAGGCACCCAATATTATCCCTGACTACGCTGAAGGCAGCTTTTCTCTGCGTGCGTTTGACTCGAAGGCATTGGAGCGTCTCCGAAGCCGCGTCATACCCATTTTTGATGGAGCTGCAGCGGCTACGGGCTGTACTGTTGAATTATTTTGGTGCGTGGATAGGCATATGATACAGGCTATGCAATTTCCAGGTGCTAATACGCATTTAGGGACGCATTGTATGAAGACGTCGTGACCAACATGGTTCTAGCCAACCGCTATACCCAGTATATGATCAACGATCTCGGCCTCACACCCGCAGATATTCTTCCTCCATCAGAACTCTCCGCAAAGGTGAATCAGAATGGTAGCTCGTATGTTGCAAGGCGGGACACAACTCCGAAGGCGTCGCAGAAGGGACTAACGTTGCAAATCTCTAGCGATTTCGGAAACTGCTCTTATATCCAACCTGGCATTCAGACATTATTCAGCATCAACGCTACGGATATGCCTCACACTCCTTCCTTCCAGAAAGCCGCAGGTACAGACTTCGCACATACAGAGTCACTTAGGGCTGGAAAGGCCAATGCTTTGATAGGGCTTGAGGTCCTGCTTGATGAGAGATTCTACCAAGAAGTAAAAAGTGATTGGATAAGTGACATGAGGGAGCGTGGTCGGCTTCCCGAGTGAATTGTTTGAAACATATAGCTCACTTGATCGTCTGCCATTTAAAAGCGGTCAAAAGCGGTCCGAAGCCCTTGCATTGTACTACTCCTTTCACGTTCTCGCTTGCATACCCATAGCAATATACTGTCTTATGAGCAACTCCAGCCCTTAACCTCATGCAATTCGCTGCATACGCCTCTGCATAACGTCTCAATTCGGTCATATTCTCAATAGCCGCTTTCCTTCACTTGGGTATTGCTACCCGCAGCTGAGCTATCTGTTCCTCGTTAAAACAGGTTAACCAAGGTACTCTATCTATAGTACAAAACTTAGTGGTTTTGATGCACTTGCTGGATACTTGCGCATCTTATAATACACAGATCCTTCTGGCATATCCGTGGATCATAGCACTATTGAGAGTGTGCTGATGGATATATTTATCTCAACACCAAGACAGCTTTGCAAAGTGCTGGCCGTAGAATTGTATGTCGCCCTCACGTTGGCCCGTGGTCGCTTGTGTATCATCGAAGGTTGTATGCAAAACATTGGTAACTGCTCAACTAGCGATCATCTGTCTTTTAAGGTCATCAAGGTACCGCTCTGGTGTCCAGTTAGCTTGTCTAAATTGTACCTAAAACTATAAGACATACTCCCAGCCATCCATCGCATGCCCATACATTGGAGCACTCTTTCTAAGACGCTTACGGCTCTCCTGGAATCCATTTTTGGGCTATCCCTTAGCAGACCCAGTAATAGCCGAGCTGCCTTGTAGACAGCATGTACCACAAATACGGGCAGCGCCTCTAAGTCAGCCGGCGCGACTTGCACAGCGAAACTCTCCGACGCATGAACAAGTTCCGTAATTACATCTTGCAGAAGTTCGTACGATAAAGCGGCACATGGCTCGGGCCGTGGAGCCGTAAGGCTGCACCCAAACTCTAGGATAGTCATCAACGCGCTGGTTTGGCTCGATGTCAGTATCCAATGAATGCTGTAGGTGATAGAGTTCAACAGTACCTCCGGGATAAGGCAACTGCGCTGCAGCACCGATCATGTGGGACGATGTTATCATCTTGTACAGTTCCTCTGAAAGAACTCAGTGTCTTTAAGATCTGTATAGCTTCGGCATTGAAGAACTCCATGTGTTGAACTGGTTCATGGACGTGGGTGAGTACTTGCTCTAGTATACGTGAAGCTTGAGCCAATTTATTGAAGTGATACAAATGTCTCGATGGCGTTAAGGTCAGGTCGAACGCTTCGGAGTCCTATGACAACGTTAGTAATGCGAATTCACTCCCCAGTTGCAATACTTGCGTCGTTCCCACCGACGACTCCCGACAGTAGAGCTTTCGAGATACTAGGTCCTTTGTTACTCTCTAAGGATACATATCTAAATGGCAGTTTCACGGTTAGTGTTTATTCAGATGAAGTGCATAGTATATGGAAGTGAGCTAGTCCTGGTAAGCTAACATAGAGCCACAGGTCCACTAGTAATGTTTACGGTGAAAGTGGAAGAAGACAAGACAAACCGATCAGTTATTATAATGCCACGCCATGTACGTCGAGCCTCGTCCGCTCCTTCTGAGAACTTGAACGTTTCCTCTAGCTGGGCTTTCGATAGCCCATTCGCCCCCAGGGCCACTGCTGCCCGAACATTGGCACCCATGGAGATATATGCGGCGGGGTACATGCCGTGGCCCACTTCGTAAATAGTGAGTAGTAGTCTACACTGCAGCAGCTCCAATGAATTGATCTCAGCGGCCTCTAATGATGCAATGAAGCCCTTCACTAGTATGTATAGCGAGCGCATTCGGGGCGGTATCTCATCATCGACTGGCTTGACACCCAGAAGGACCATGCATAGCGTGAGCAAGCCAAGTTCCGGACTCGGATGAGTAAGAATGTGAGACAGACGCTTGTGAAATGGTGCTTCAGCTAATATGGGAAACCAAGGATGGATTGTCCGAAAATATACCGCGGCTACGGCTCGAATCCTACTTTCATCCCCGATGATGGTGAAGACTTGCATCCGGATGGTGTGAGATATGTTGGCTGACGTGAGCTGCGCTAGATCAGGCACCGGTAGCGAAATTGAGGATACATTCTCCGGAGAGTCTCTGGATCCAGCTATTCCGTTCGGTTCCGTGTAGCAGCAGACACGGTTCAGTCTGATTGGTGTTTTGTTAGTACATATATGTGTAAGCGGAAGAGCCCATTTCACCGAAGTAGTCTTACCGTTTGCACAATGAGCACACTGGAAGCAGCTTGTCGCATTTACGCTTGTGAGTCCTGCAGCGCCGGCAGACGCGATTTGCATGGCTACTCATTGTGTACTGTTGACGGTGCGGATGCAGGTGCGGATGAGTACCAGCATGGGTGGCTCCGTATGAATTTAAGTACCGACTAAATTACTGATCATGAACCCACAGAGGATTCAATTAGCCAACATTGTCGCCCGATTCGATAACTACTAACTAGGAGTAGTTAAGTTATGATGTCGCAAAGCCTCGTTGTGAAAGCGGATCCATCGGACCAATGACACTAGTCCCATACCGTACTTGATCACCTGACGCACGTCCCCACCTGCCGCACGGATTTCTATATACACCGACTTTTTGACTTCAACTTCAAACCATCACAACTCCGTCAATATGGGTTCAATTGATGAGGCGCTTGCTTTTTTAAAATCCCTAGATCCAGGAGAATCATTTAAATATGCGGAAGTAGCCAAAAAATTCGGTATTGATTGTACAACACTCTCAAGATACCACCGGGGTGTTATACATTCAAAAGAGAATTAATATGAAAACCAGCGATTACTCAACAGCCAGCAAGCCAAAACTCTTATAAGTTATATTAATAAACTCTCTGAG